CCAGAAGAAGGCATCAGATCCCATTACAGATGGTCGTGAGCCACCATGTGGTTGCTGGGAATTGAACTCAGGACCTTTGGAAGAGCAGTTAGCACTCTTAACTGTTTCTCCTCCTCCTTCTCCTCCTCCTCCTCCTCCTCCTCCTCCTCCTCCTCCTCCCCCTCCTCCTTCTTCTTTTTAATAAGAAGTTTGTTCATTTTGTTAAAAATCTAAGCACAGCTCTCCTGATGCATGTGTGACCTGCAAACACCATACATATGTAACGTGTGTAACAATGTACTCGATTGTCTTTGGTATATGTGTACAGCCACCACTGTGATCAAGACCATCTTTCTCCATTTGGAATGTATCAGTGTGCTGGGGTTTAAGTGTGGCCTCTAAAACATATTGAAATCTATCCTATTTTTTTTTTGGACGAGGTCTCATTATGAACCCCAAGTTGGCTCTGAACTTGTGTCCCTCCTGCTTCCTGACACTCAATCATCAGCTCTCCTTCCTCCACTGCATCCTTTCCTACTTTGATGGACTCACTAAGCCTCAGTCCTTTCAAACAATGTCTCACTTTGGTCCCATTTATTTTCTTTTATGTCCTGTATCAGTAGTTTCAGCTTTTTTTCCCTTTTCTTTTCCTTTCCTTGCTCTTCCTTTCTTCCTTCACTTTTTCCTCTCTAGACTGGGTCTCACTATGTAGTTTGAGTGTCCTAGAATTTATTTCCTATGGAGACCAGGCTGGCTGTGAACTCACAATGAGAGAGGCAGCTGCTTAAATAACTTAAGTTTAACCTTTGCCCTTCTCTAATATGCATTTAGCAACACAAATTCCAAAATACAGTTTTAGCTGCACCCCACATTATTTTCTTCATTATTTTTTGTTTTGTTTTGTTGTTTTTAATTTAAATTTGGGGAGGCAGGGTCTCATGTGACCCATGTTGGCTTCGGACCTGCTATTTACCTGAGGATGTCTTTGAACTTCTGGTCCTCTGATCTTAACCTCCTGAATGCTAGAATTACAGTCTCTTGTCATCCACAACTGGTTTTATATGGTGGTAGTGACCGCCTCCCATGAGCTCTAGCTAGACAAGTGATCACTATCTCCTGGCCACTATTAGCTTTTATGATTTATTTTTAAGGTGTCTTTTGTGTACACGTGTTCTGCCTGCATGTATGTTCACCACGTGTGCTTGGGGCCAGTAGAGGCCAGAAGCAGGCATTGGATCCCTTAGAACTGGAGTTCCAGATAGTTATAAGACACCATTGTAGGTGCTGGGAGCTGAAGTGTTCTCCCCTCTCTCTGCAAGACAAAGAGGCTGTCCTGAAACTTGCTTTGTAGACCAGGCTGGCTTTGAACTCACAGAGATCCGACCATCATGCCCAGTGGAACAAGTGCTCTTAACCAGAGTCATCTCTCTTGCCCCCGCCCCCCTTTTTAAGGAAAAAATTATTTTGACTAGACATCTGAGTATTTTGTCTGCATGTGAGTGTCCTTTGTGCAGATCAGAAGACTGAGGGCATTGGGCGCTCTGGAACTGGAGTTATGACAGCTTGAACCACCATATGAGTGCTGGGAGCTGAACCGGGGTCCTCTGGAAGAGCAGCCAGTTCTTTTAACCATGGATCCATTTCTCCAGCCCCGTTCTGTTAGTTGTACAATTTTTATTATCTCTCCCTTCGAAATGTTTCCAGTTTCTTTTGTGGCTTCACCAGTTTCAGTCCTCCCAATTTGCTTTATACATCCGTTCCTGAGTTATGTCTAATCTGTTCTTAAACACATCTAATGAATTATTCTCAAAATTCTAGAGTTTCCAACTTTTTCTACCCACAATGCCCTGCACAGACTCTTGGAAATACATCTGGGTTTTAAAAATTTTTTTTTTTTTAATTTATGGTGTGTGTGTGTGTATGTGTGTGTGGGGGGGAGGGAGAGAGGGGGAGAGGGAGAGAGAGAGAGAGACAGAGAGACACTTTATGCATACCACTTAGGGCTATAGCTACAGAGACAAGAGACAGATCCCCTGGAGCTGGAGTTAGTGGCCTTTGTGAGCAGCCGTGTGGGTGCTGGGAACTTGAGTAAGAGCAGTCAATACTCATAACCACCCAGTCTTCTCTCAGGCCAAGCACATCTGAGTTTCACAGCTGTGATCTGGACTTACACTTGGATCTCTTCTGGGTGTTTCTGGTTTTTAATTCCAGTGATTCATTTGGTCTGGTCTCTGGAGACTGAGTTCCTTCTGGTTGTAGTGTGTAGGAAGAACTTGATGTCGAGGGTTATGTTTGTTTCCTTCATGGGCTTGGTAGCTGGGGATACAGGCGACCTGCGTTCTTCAGTTCTCATGCAGCCTCAGATGGATTAGCAACCCAGCTAATCCATGAGGTTTAGTGTAGAGATAGCAATGGAAAGGTAGGTAAACCAAACCATGTGTCCAGTAACTTAAAAATCTTACCAAACATTTATGAAAAGCACCTGGAGGCATCTTAGAGCCAACAGGTTAGTGATGTGCCACCTGCCAGGGGCCCAGGGACATGCTACTCCTCCAGCACTTCATGCTCTGTGGTTTCTTTTTAAAAAAGATTTTTACTTTGTGTGTTTTATCTTCATGTATGTATATATGGCACGTGTGGTCAGAAGAGGGTATTAGATCTCCATGTACTAGAGTTACAGATGGCTGTGAACCATCACGTAGGTGATGGGAACCGAACCAGGATCAGTAACAACGGCTCTTTACCATGAGCCATTTCTCCAGCCTCAGCCTCAGTTTCTATTTTACACATGGCCAGTGTCAGGTATTCCAAGGACAGCAGTGCACAGTAGACTGTGAGTGGCTGGTTACTAACTTGAACCTTGTGTCTGAGTACTTCCGTGATTTAATTTCACACATACACACACACACACACACACACACACACACACACACATGCTCTTTTACTTTCTTTGATGTGACTGTCTTCTGTGTACATTTGTGCATCACGTGCATGCCTGGTGCTAACAGAAGTTAGAAGATGTTGGATCCTGCAACTGGGTAACAGATGGTTGTAGGTGCTGGGAACTGAACCCTGGTTCTCTGCTGGAGCAGTAAGTACTTTTAACCTCTGAACCATTTCTTCAGTCCCTGACACCTTTTTAAATTTTGACAGCTCTAAACAAATTGATATTTAAATTCAAGCACAATCCAGCTTATTGTTTAAGTTTCTTACCATGTGATTAACCTGTCCTTTCCCAAGGGCTAGAAAGAGATCCAACTGACTACAGAACTGAGGGAGGCCATGGCACAGCTGGGAACCTCTGTCCAGCGGAGCACCAGGTGGTGGTGCCCTGATGGAGCTCTTAGGCCACCGAGCCCATGAGCTAGAAGAGAGGGTCAGTAAGAGGCAAGCACCCGGGCAGGGCACAGGGTACTTGGACCAGGAGGCTGGGGCAGAGTCTTTGCAGGCAGTGTGCCGCCATCACAGTGATGGGCTATGGGGACTGTAATTCCCGTTATAGAAACTATCAGTCCTATAACTGATGTCTCGCACTCCTGCTTAGTTTCTAGACTACCAAAGAAGCAGACGTTTCACATGACACAATTTTTTGTTTGGTTTTGTTTTGCCTACAGGAAAAAGAAGCAAATTAGACTGCACTGAAAACAAGCGAAAGCTGTCAATCATTTCTCTAGGTAGGAGATACACCATTGTATAGTGTAATCACCATTGCCTGAAAGGCTGACTAGGCCATTCCACCTCGATGCCTTGCTCTCAAAGTGGGACTGAGAAGTCAGTGCCAGGGGAAAAGCCTTGTACTTGTGATTACAAGTGAGTTGTAGCACAAGAGACCCCAGCCATTCCTGGGAATTGGTATCTGGAGGCAGCAGGAGGATGGGGGCTCTGGCCCCTGCACCCATCACACCAGAGAAGGGCTCCAATTTCATCTACTCCAGAAAAGGATAAAGGAACCGCCCTGCTCCCTGAAAACCAGGGAAAGAAGGCTCAGTCTGGCTCACTCAGGGGAAACAGCCCATGGGATATGCATGAGGTGCAAACCATGACTGCCCTCAGCCAGGGGGCTGGGGACAGATGGAAAGGCTGCTCCCAAGAGACCAATGGGGTGAACAGAGACTGACACACTGCAACTTGGAATGCACAGCCACGGACCCTTGGCTCCACTCGGCACAGCCTTGGGTGTGTGGGACCAAACACGTGGCCCCAAAACATTTTTCAAAGTCAGAAACAAGGAGAAAACATGTTTTTCATCTCACATGGAATACTGTTTTAATAAGTGGCTCCCTATTGACTTGGTTGAAGGAAAAAGATTGCTTTCTAAATTAAGCTTTCCCCAGTGAATACTATGGAGTAGATAGACTAAATTTTGCTTGACTCCAGCAGATTCCGTGACACACCTCAGGGTCAACCCTTCAAAAAAGAGCTATCTAACCTCTTTGGGCAAGGCCCCTGTCATGTTGACAGGTACAGTGTTTATGAAATTTTGTGCTGCTGAGAGGCATGCAAACACATACATGCATATATACACCATGCATATACATGTACACATATGCATATACATGCACATGCATGCATGCATGCAGACAGATGCAGACATAAAAGAAGTTGCACAAGTGACTCAAAGATTTTCAATATTTGAGGAAAAAAAAAAAAAAAGATGTGTAGGTTGAATGTGGTGGCTCAAACCTGTAATTCCCGAACTCAGAAGAGGCTGAAACAGAAGGATTGCTGTGAATTCTAGGCCAGCCTAGGCTCCTTAGTGAATTTCAGCTCAGCAAGGACTACATTGTGAGCTGGCTCAGTGGTTATGGGCACCTGTTGCTCTGCAGAGGAACTGGGTTCCGTTCTCAGAACCCACAGGGCAGCTTATAACTGTCTGTGACTCCAGTTCCTGTCTGACACCTCTTCTGATGTCTGTGGCCCCAGGCCTGCACATGGTGCACATATATACATATAGGCAAAACCTTGTACACACAGAATAAAAATAAATCTAAAAACAATAATAATTTTTTTAAAAGGTGAAATGGTATACATTGTTGATGTGTTTATTATGTGCCTAAGGCCACAGTATCTTGGGACAGCTCTAGTTTTGGGGTTGAGGAATTTAAAAAGAAGTCACATGGTGAATAGCATGTTTCCCGTTTATTGTTGTCTCGCCCTTGTAGTACAGTCAAGGCTGAGTGAACTACTGCTAACTGGCACACTCTCCCAACAGTCACAGTGTGTGAGGGAAACACGCTTGTGTGACCCTCTGTGGCAGAAGGCACAGCGGGTGTGTAGTCTGTCTCCTTCTGCTCCTGGTCATGAAGTAACTAGCTGCTGGGCTGGGGGTGGGCGTGGCTGTGTCCTGCTTCAGTCTGAGTCCATAGCAAAGAGCTGGATGTCCTGCGGGTTCCAGTACAGGCCCACTGCCGAGCTGTAGACCAGAGACCAGACGTACGGGGTGAAGAACTCCTCAGGCCGCTCCTCCTCCACATATTTGAACTTTAGTTCTGGAAATTTCTGCAACGAGAACAAGATGACTTTTTATGTATAAGCAAAAGCAGTGAAGTGTGTGCAGCAGGTCCCCTCTCTGAGTGCTCACAGGCTGGAGTGCAGGCCTTTCACAGAGTCTGACCGTCAAATGGCTTCTGGGCTGGGAGAATATAACTCACCTGCTGTGCTGCCTGGCTTTATGTCAACTTGACATAAGCTAAAGTCATCTGAGAGGAGAGAATCTCAACTAAGAAAATGCCTCCGTAAGACCAGGCTGTAGACAAGCCTGTAGAGCACTTTCTTAATTACTGATGGCGGAGGGTCCAGCTTATGGTGGGTGGTGCCATCCCTGGGCTGGTAGTCCTGGGTCCTTTAAGAAAGCAGTTCACTGAGGCCGAGTCACCCCCTAACAGAAGGGTCAGCCAGGGTCAGCAGGCTCTGTGGCTGTCTCAAGAACACAGAGACTGTCGGATGGAGTAAGGCTGGACATCCCCATTGACTAGTCAAGGTCGATTTGAAAAGGAGCACCTGAACTTTAGGTACTTGACTACTGTGGTCAAGTGCAGGTCTCCGAGGCACCACTGAGGAGTAGCTCTGGGCAGACTCAGCACACTGCTCTCCTTACAATGCCCCGAATTTCCCTGTGGGAATGAAGCCATTAAGCAGGATGGGTTTTTGTTGTTAGAATTAAAAACCATGTGGTGGCAAACACCTTTAATTCCAGCATTTAGGAGGTAGACACAAGCAGGTCTCTGTGGGTTCCAAGGCCAGCCAGGGCTACAAAGAGAGACCTTGTCTAAAACCAAACCAAACAAACCAAAAGACTCAAGGGTGGGGCCTCTTCTCCATACAGTGACATGTTGGGGGAGGTTCCTGAGAAGGTCTTGGAGGGACATAAGGTGACCTCTGTTAGCCCATTGTCTATGTCTGAGGAGGTTGGAATTGCTCACACAGGACCCCCTTCTAGCTGAGCTGCAGAGAGGAAGCCAAGAGGTATTACTAAGCTATTGACTGTCACCAAACACACCCACCCTCACAGTGTTGGGACATTCTTGTGACTGTCCTAATGGAAGGGTATGAGGAAAACAGAGTCCTGGAGTCTGGATTCTGTGGAAATGAGAAAAAGCGGCCAGTATCCCTGGGTGGCCTGTCACACCAACAGTTACAAACTGGAACTCATTTCACCTTCTACAAAGGTACAATGTGGGGACTGTCCGTCTCATCTGAAGTAAACTATTCAGCAAGAAACAGACTAAGCTCCCATGTATTGTATAGTCTATCGGGGGTGTCCACCATGGCCCGTGCACCCAGGGGGTATAACACTATGGCTGTCAATGGTGGATATGGGTAGATTTTATAATGAAGTTATCATTCAAATTGAACAATGGTTATTGCAGCAGAAGTTCTCCACAATAACTTAGTAATTATTCCCCAGCACTAGAGAGGCAGAGTCAGGAGGATCTCTCTGCATTTCAGACCATCCTGGTCTGTATAGTGAATCCCAGGTCACCTGGGGCTACAAAGTAAAGGCCACTCAACCTACTTTATCAATTCTGAGACTATGGCAAGGCAGTTTCTAGCTAACATAATTGATTACATTAACAGGCACATTAAAATGTTTTTAGATACTCATTTAATTTCTGAAGCAATGACAAAAAAACTATTCAGAAGACCTCCCCTCCCCACCCCGCACCTTCTCCTTCTTTCCTCCTCCCTTCCTTTACAGATATTTCCCAACGCTTAATAAGAACAAGACTAAAGGCACGGCTGTGGCTAAGGAGTGTCCAGACCCAGAGTTTATGAGCAGAAATCTGCCTTTATTAGCTGTGACTCTGGAAGTCCCCATCCCCGCACAGCCTCAGGCTCTTCAAATACAGTTTGGCACTATCCTCTGAGAGTCTGAATTTAACTGTCTGAACTTCCCAGCTGAGTGCTCAAATGAGGTAAGCCATGTGATGACAGAAAGGCCTTGCAGAATATCTAACCCAGAGTGGGCATCAGTGAATACTGGCTGTTGTTACGGACGGTACAACCACCAAATAAGAGACCAGGAATACTGGGATGGATGCAAGTCCGTTTCTCCTATGCTCCTCACCAAGGATCCTGGTTTTTGAATTATTTCACATGCAGCCACACTATGGGCTTTTGGAAACTAGGAGCGTTCTGAGCACCTGGCATATTATGGACACTTATTTGCTGAACTGAATAAACAAAGGACTTCATATCCACACAATAACCATGTGTCAGGTCTTTTTTTTTTTTAAAGATTTATTTATTTATTATATATGAATACACTGTAGCTGTCTTCAGACACACCAGAAGAGGGCATCAGATCTCATTACAGATGGTTGTGAGCCACCATGTGGTTGCTGGGATTTGAACCATTGAGCCATCTCTCCAGCCCCCGATGTGTCAGGTCTTAATCAGACTACTGTACAGAAAGAGAAGTGAAGGAGTTGAGTAACCTGCCACAGAGACCGTGACCAGCAGCTTCTTCCATTGCAGCCTCTCAAACCAAGGATTGGGGTGTCCATCCTCCAAACATCTACAGCTAGGGTGGATATGAGGTTTCCAGGCCTCCCAAGAAATGTTCTTCAATGGTCTCATTCAACCTTGGTGCCTGGGTGTCTCACAGTGACATGCAGAGGCTGCATTCTGCCAGCCCAGGTTATGGCCAGGAAAGCAAGCCCGGCGCTTTAGGGTATTTCCCTGGGACTTTGGCTTCTCAGCTTGTGTACAATGTAGGACTTATGAGCTCCTTTGAATTCTGACCATCTGTCAGGTGACTCTAGTGGGGGAATCTAAACCTCTCCATTCCTGCCATGCTTTCTGACCTCACTGTAACTTTAAAGTCAAGCAGGCTCAGGATTCATACAGCTAGCCTTCATGGCAGATACCTCTGTTCCTTGTGTCACTCAATGTCCTGGTATTCAACTGATGGTCGTCACGGCAATTCTAACTGTCTAAGACCAAGACAATATAAATCAGCTGTTGTTAAGTAGCTCTGTAGGCTGGGAACTTACGGCTAAGTGGTCTGCAGGGATTAGGCACTGCCTGCTGCCTGGTGAAGATCTGATCATTTTACAGTGTTTGCAAGCTGTAGTCTACTGGGTGTGCACCACGAGTCACAGGGAAGTAGAAGGCAGAGACAGAACAACAAAACAACGTAAACATATTGTCACTGCTGGGGAAAAGCCTGCTGGACACAGCACACATGGCTCCGAGACCACAGTATAGTGGTCTCACTGTGCATGTGCGTGTGTGTCTGTCTGTTGTCTTTCTCCTTGAGTGAATGACTGAACTGTGAGCTATTTATTTTCTGGGTTCTTTCTGGAATCTTCCCCAGCAGGTCATTTACATGGTTCCTAAAGGGTTGTGGCACAAATAGCAAGGTAAACGAAGACCTGTTTTCCAGACTGGTGGCATGAGGCAAACAACTGAATGCATAGGTGAAGTCCCTTCTACTGGAATGAGTTATTGGTAAGCCTGGCTGACTGAGGACTCTGGAAGAGCAGGTAACAGTAGAGTTTCAACATGCCATTCAGCAGCCTGATGCGCATATAACAGCTTCGTGAGCTGGGCCTGCACCACCCTCTCCATGTTCTGCATCCCCGCCACAACCTGTCCGTGTGGGTAGCTATAGAGCCTTGAACAGAGATCCTTAAGACCATGTGCTTCTCTGAGACGTCTTAGAATGCTCAAGAGCCAAGGAAAGGAAAGACAACAAGTATTATTTAGAGCTAAAGACACTGGGGACACATTTTGCCCAAGAAATGTCATGTCTGAAGGTAATAGCAACAACCCAGAAAGAGTCATCCTTCCCTTTGCATTCCTGTGCGAGCCTATGAAAAACAATAATGCCATCCTGTGTGGCTGCGGGATGTCCAGCTTTCTCACAGTGTGTGTGTGTGTGTGTGTGTGTGTGTGTGTGTATGTGTGTGTGTGTGTGTGTCTCCATCCCTGACACACCAGGCTACATGGCGGCTACAGGCCAGCTGTGGACTAGCCCCAGCTCTGATATCAGCCCGGTGCTTCACGTTCTCCTCTTGTACTCTGCTTCTCTAGCCCTTCTCAGGCCTCCGCTGTGGCTCCTGTCAGGGACTTTTGGGTTACTGTGTCCTGAGGATCACTTGTGTTCTGAGAAGGGACGGGCGCTGGAGAGGGGGAAAAGGGGATCCTAGGTAGGAGCCCTGGCTTTCACACCTCTCTTCAAGATCCTTGGCCTGGGGCTTGGTTCTGAAACTAGAGAAAACCCATCTTCGAAGCTTGAAGCTTGGTCTTTGTCCAAAACCACTTACAACAATCCTGTTGTTTTAAATTTTGGAGCCAGAGGTAATGTTAGACTCTCAAGTGGGCCGGAACTTTTTTTTTTTTTTTTTTAAATCACCTCCAGTGAAATCAACCTACCTCAGTGGGGCATCCGGACGCTCAGCGACAAAGTGGAAGTCTGAGGTGGCAGTGAGACCTGGATAGAGCTGGCACACCCAGGGCCTACATACAGCCTGTCTCTGTTGTCAGTCATGTGATCCAGTGAAAAGCCACAGGAAGTCAGTGAGCAGATGTAGGGTACAACTGTAATAATTTTATTACCGCAGAAGTTCAGTGAGATTTCCAGCTTCCACCTAAAGTCTATACAGATAGCATCAGACACCCAGCAAGCACCTGGCATGGCTCCAGGAAGTTAATGCAATTTACAATCAAACGGCTACACGGCACACTGAAAAGAGTTTCCTGCATATAGTAAGTGGGGTAGACAAGTAGATGGTGGCCACTGGGCCCAAGGCAGCCCAAACCAGCTGCTAGCTGTGGTGGCCTTGGACTGACCAGCAAGCCACTGTTCATTAGGGCTGGTTTAGGGTGGGCAGCCTGTTCAGACAGCAGAAGAATGGCCTCATGAGCCTGTCACAGGACAGCCAAGAAAACTGCTCCTTGTGAAGTCCATGGTGGGGACTCTATAATAGTCTCCCGAACCTCTCCCCCTTCTCTCCCTGACTGTCACTGAACAACCACACCAGGGGACTGCATCT